TTTTTTGTACGATTTCATATATTCGTACAAGATCTGCTGTCAGATTTTTTGACCTGGGTAGTGCATGAAAATTCATAAGAAATCAATGAAATTGTCTTGTTTTCGATGGTCTTATTTTAGCAGAAAGGGGAACTTTTTATTTTTTTTCAATGTGCTGGAAAAAAACTCAAGTTTGTTGGATCTTAGAAAACATGATAGTTAATAACTGAATACTTTTGAATGAAGTGATTTATTTTTATAAGAAATGTTCCATCTATTGAATGTCAGTCTTATGAAGAATTTTATTCCTTTTTGTTTGTTTCTATCACTCGTGGAGTCTATGGGCTTTTTTATTTCAAACTGAATTCTAAAATCAAAAAAACCGCACCAACTTCTTCCGAATCAAACTTTTCTCGTTTGATACTACGTAATCCCACTAAAAACCCTTAGTCCCCCCTAGTCCTGCAAAGTCCCCCTTAGTCCCCCCCACAAAAAGCTTAGTCCCCGCTTAGTCCCTTGTGCAGGGGACTAAAGCCTATAGTACACAAAGCCACAAGCACACCCTCACCCTCACTCGCGCGCCCACACCCGCACCATGGGTGTGGGTGTGTGTGTGGGTCCCAGACCAACACCCACACCCTCAGTCACTCCCCCCCCTCACTCCTAGACTCACGTTTCAGTTTGAAATCAAGTATTATTTTTATTTGATAAATTCAGACTGAAATTAAATAGCCCATAGTATGCACTCGTGATAATCTATCAGCCGATAACCGGCTAGCTTTGTCGGTCAATAAGCAACCAGCCGTTTGCTTGTGTATAAATTTAGTCTTATTATTTATTTGCACCTGAAAATAGGAGTTTTTCAACGCTGGATTAATCGAATCAACTATACGCGTACCAGTAAAGTTTATTGTCTCAGTTTTAATTTCATCAACGCTTTGTGTCATTGCCACATCTTTATTCTAGATATGGATATACTGCGAGAGACAATTCTCAGAAACAAGAAACACTTTTGTAATCTCTATATGATAAGTTTAGTTTTTTGCATTTATTTGCCTCTTGAAGTCTTGTGAAGTCTTATGAAGTTTTGTGAAGTCTGGCACAGTCTTGTGAAGTCTGGCAAAGTCTTGTGAAGTTTTATGAAGTCTTGTGAAGTCTTATGAAGTCTTATAAAGTCTCAAGAAGTCCTACAAAGTCTGTGAAGTCTCACAAAATCCGTGAAGTCTCATGAAGTCTGTGGAATCTCACGAAGTCTGTGAAGTCTGTGAAGTCTCACGAAGTCTTTTGAAGTTCTCTGAAGTCCCATGAAATTCTATGAAGTCTTATGAAGTCCTTTGAAGTCCTATGAAGTCCTATGAAGTCTTTAGAAGTCTTATGAAGTCTTTAGAAGTCTTGTGAAAATATGAAGTCACTGTGGTTGAAGTCTGTTGAAGTCTTTTGAAGTCTTGAAGTCTTGAAGTCCGCTGTTTCCCCCTTGCTTTCTTTTTTACCAATATCTGGCATCCTCTGTATATTCTATTTTTCCCAACTTTTCTATTTCTGTACCTCAGTTCAAAGAGAAGTCTAAATCGGATCAGAGTTAAAATTAGATACGAGCCCGGTAATAAATTGAATTCCGGGTCTGGAATGGGTCTGGAAGGACCCGCAGGTCTCTTCATCGAATACAATCATACGATATATGTCGATCGATAAAAGAATAGAAATATTGAAGATAAAATGAAACAGACAAACAAATAGCTAGTTGAGAAAAAGCGTTATTGATCTTACAACAAAATTTCGTTTGAATTTCTCAGCTGGAAAAATATTTTAAGGAATTTTTTCTCTTTTATAGTAAGAGAAACTTTCATAATATGTGAGTCATTTTTCTTGGGTAAACCAATGTCATATAAACTAGAGTAAAGGCAAATGTGATGCAATAATTAGTATCGCAATAAAAATAAATCTTTGTATGTAGAAAATTTAGATTAATATGCTTCAAGTCATTCTTCAGTGGCTGTCAAACATATTATCAACAGACATGAATAAATGAAATCAGGGTTATTTAGAGAAAGTACCTATACAAATCTTGCACGCTCTTGTTTATTTGAGGCATTTTTTATATTTTCATATCATTAAGATATGAAAATTAAATTATTATTTATACACGAATCTGCTATGTAATTTATTCCTCACAGATAATGCAGAAAAACGAACGAGAGTCATTGAATTCAGAAATAAAACATCTTTGCATTTGATCATGATATAAGTTTATTTCATGGCTCAAAATCATATATTACTTGTCTAATGTATTGATCAACTATATTAATAAGGATGCAACAAACCCGAAGCTTTGAATTTGTTATAGTATAGATTTGGATTTGATTAGATTTCGGATTTCGGTTTGGATTTATTCCATGATGTTGGGTTTTGCATTTGGATTTGGATCTGGATTTGGTACGTATTTTTTTGGATTTACGTCTCGATGTGGTAAAATAAGGTGTTAACAGCTACGTTCTATTTAACTACAAAGGCGGTGCATGCATAAAAATATTTCAGGATTTGAGCAGTCATCCTATTCCGCAATGTTGAACATTGCGGGACCAGTCCCCCCCCCCCCCCCTCCCCCGGAACCAGTTCCGTCCGATTGCGGGAATCCGCTCGTCTTACAATATAAGAGGTCTACTCCACATAGATCGAGTTCCATTGAATTCCGGAATCGGTAGGAATTCCCGGGAATTCCGTCGAATCCCGTCTCGACGCAATTCTCGGAATTCCGTACCAGAATTAGGTGGCGATCGAATCGAATAAACTTTAACCACATCACTATGCATGTTGGTGAGTGCAAGGTGTAATTGCGGTTAGAAATTCCTGAATTAGGTCGGATTCCCAGAATTCTGGAATCGGTAGGAATTCCCGAGAATTCCCAGAAATTCCGTACCGGAATTAGGTGGCGATCGAATCGAATAAACTTTAACCACATCACTATGCATGTGGATGAGGGCAAGATGTAATTCCGGTTAGGAATTCCGGAATTAGATCTGATTTCTGGAATTTCGGAATCGGTAGGAATTACCAAGAATTCCGTCCAATTCCGTCCAATTCCGGAATCAGGTTGAATTCCCGGAATTTCGGAATAGGTAGGAATTCATGGAAGTTTCTAGGAATTCCGGCCAATTCCGGAATTAGGTCGAATTGCCGGAATTACATTCAATTCTGTATCGACTCAATTCCCGAAATTCCGTACCGGAATTAGGTAGCGATCGAATCGAATAAAATTTAACCACTTCAGTATGCATGATGGTGTGGGCAAGATGTAATTCCGGAATCGGTAGGAATTCGGTGCAATTCCGGAATCGATAGGAATCGCTATGATTTTCTTGCGATTCCGGAATCGCATTGAATTCCAGTAATTCCGAGAATTTTGGGAACTCGATCAATGTCGAGTATTCGTCTTACGCTGAATGACGCCGGAATCCCGGGAATTCGATGGAACTGATTCCGAGGACGGAACTGGTTCCGCAATGTTCAACATCGCGGAATAGGATGTATTCTCCAGGATTTGGGACCAACGATTTGGGATTTGAGTTTGAATTTTCCCTTGAGATCAAAATAATAAAAAGATGTTGCGATGCAGTTAATGTTAAAAAAATTGGTAAACTATTTATGTAAACTTGTTCTAGAAGTAAATCTACGCATCAAACCCAAGCCAAATCCAAATCAGAAGTTCAAATCCAAATCCGAACCCAAATCCAAATCGAAATTTCAAATCTACAATCCAAATCCATACCCAAATCCCAAATCTAAACCCCAAATCCAAATCCAAATTCCAAATCTAAAATCCAAATTTATACCCGAATCCCAAAGCGAAATTCCAATGTTAGCTCTCAAATCTAAATCCAAATCCAAATCTTCTCTAAGATTTGTTGCATCCCTATATATTAATTAATTTTTAAAATAGCAATGAGAAACATGTCGTATTTAATACAATGATTTTCCCCAAATCGAAATTGAGTTTCGAATTTTATCCACAATCAGTGTTGATTTTCCATCTTTTTGGAAAATGAATTTTCTCGAAAATTAAGCGTTTTCTAAATTTTCTAAATTCGAGTAATGAATAATGGAAATTTGAAAGTGCTGCAACTTTTTTAAAGTCGATTTTCTAAAAAGTAGAAGTTGAAAACAATTTACAGTGTATTGCATTGTTGTGTACTGGTTGTTTAATCTCGAAAAAACTCCACACATAGTGATCGAGGTGACTATATGTCTGATAAACACAATAGAGATCCATTGAATTTAGTATCAAAATATCGCTTTAAAGGAGCACTTTCATCCCATATATGATTCGACTCAATCAGGGACAAAAAAAGCCCAGTGGGTGTATCCGATACCTTATGTGCCAGTCCTTTTCCAAGAGAAGTATAAATTTATAATAGACACAACCGTACTCTAAAAACGATTTTTCGTGGACTTTGTTAGTCGAAAAATTAATATTATCATAGGCGGTAAAAATATTTTGACTCTTCCTGAATTCTGACCCTATGGGCAGTGTTGAAGGGAAAAAAACGAAAGGTGTACAAATCTATTTGACTTTCGTCAGATACAAGCAGAAAAAATATTACAAACATAGTTAGCAACTGCAGAAATGAAAAACCTACATAAGTCAGCCCGTTGTCGAGGATCATATATATACTGCTCCTACACACTTAAGTGTAGGGTGTTTTGATGCTTTGCTAAGTTCGAAAGCCTTCGGCGCGAATTAACTCCCGGCTTTTTTCTCTCTCATGCTTATCAGGCTATTCTATGGATTGCCTCTCTTGATAGCAAGAAAAAATAATCGTGGCACTTATGAAAGGAATAGAAATAGATATATAACCGAATTACAACAACGCTAGCATATCCAACTTGAGCTACACTGACTTTTTTGGCAAAAGAAGACCTTTAGTTCCACCAAATGTAAACTGATTGCTGAAAGCCAGAAGTGACTTAAAGAACGCTGCTGCAAAATAGTAGTTCTTTTCTCACGGTTGTTACATACTAATAGAATGCTTGAAGAAAAATGTACAGGTAATTTGTGACCATTCGTTGATCATATGTGAAGTCAAATTGAAGACTGACTCTAAAACAATTATTTGAACTGAAACTCAGAACCCTTTCCTGATGAGATAAGTTGATGCTATCAATAAAGATTGTAAAATAAACGAAAATAAACTATCCAAGCTATAGTTCTCTTTGTGAATGTTGAAAACTTTGGTTGCCCGGCGATATTCTCTGGAAAAGCATTTTATAGTCAAATACAATAGATAACAGTTGCACAGTCCGGCGCTATTCTGTAAAATGCTTTTAATTGTATATATCAACACGTCCAAGAATCGGACGACTACTGAAAGGCTATTCTTTTTCAGACTAAAACTCCGTATCAAAGAACTTGATCTTCCTTTCTGCTTATGAAATCGTCATTGATCAAAACTGCAATAGTCTACCCAATTACACAACAGCCGCCACGAGCAACGATGAATCCAGTGCAAATGCAACCGAATCCGCCGTTGTATGGTAGGAAGATTTATTAAACATTTGAATAAAAGCTGATCAATGAAGTTGATGCTAGTGCTGATTCTGAGTATTCTTTCTATTCGGATCTTATACTACTGGCCAAAAGGAGCTTTCCTGGTTATCAGCCAATACTCCTTCACATGGGAGTAACAGGTAGCTGACGAGGTACAACGTAAGATTTTCAAGGTTGTCACTTTCTAGCTGAAGTATGGCTTTTGAGCTGCTTCACCCTCCCTACTTCCTAGTGTCCTACAGTTTTCGAAATACTTTCTATATACGTAATCAAATGTTGTCTATTCGATGATGTACAAATTGTGCCATTTAAATATATAGAATAGTTGATGAAACGCAAAAAAATCGAAAATCTCGATAAATCCTGTAAGTATCATGTGTGAGTCATAGGAGGATCAAAGGAAAGGAAAGGAAATTCTAATAGACATAATGGAGAAAAAGTGTCCTTCATGGGACTGGAACCCATACCTTCTGCTATCCTGGCAGATGTTCTAAGCTAATTAGACTAGAAGAACACACTTGATCGCCGTTTAGCGTTAGTGTGTATCAATACTGACGCTAACAAATCTCATGACTTTAAAATAATTACATTCGTATCTACTCTGTAAAGAACAACTCCTTTCCATTATTCAATAACCTATCCGAAGATATCATGAAAAGTGACTTCTCTTTGTACAAATTTCAGAATGTGGCAAAGTTAAATAGCGAAGGGATATAACTCAATCAAGAGCGGTGCATCACAATGTACCGCGTTTTCTCTCGTAGTTTGATTTCTGTAATTTATCTTATACATAAAAATGCGGTGATTTGAATATCATCAGATAGAGAATACTCGATTTTCAATATAGAAAGTATTTCGAAAACTTTAGAACACGATGGAAAGTTGGAAGCAGCTCAAGAGATTCACTTAAACTACAAATGAAAACCTTGAAAATCTTGCTCTCTTGTTTACCGAAATAGTCTAAGCTAATTTCGATACTCTGGCAAGAAAATGTAAATAAAATCCTTCCTATATTACAATAACAAATTGAACATTTTCATTTAGACAGTCCAATATCTGAACCGTCAAACTATGCGTTGTCCGCATTGCCGAAACCTACTGGTATCCGTGGTGGTGGTGGTTGTTGTACAGATGATTTTGATCCTGGTTGTGTGATTTGTGGTATTACTCCTTGTAGTGCTTGTTGTGATTGTACTTGTTGTCATTTGGGTGGTAATGCTGAAACTGGTCCTGGTTATTGTTATAAATGTTGTAGTTGTCTTTGTCTTGATTGTGGTTGTGATATTTGGTATTATATTTGTTGTGGTTGTTGTTGTTGAGATCTCGTTCTTTGGACTCGGGTGGGTGCGAAGGAAAAACTCACACCACACTCACCCTTGTCGCCAAGTGAAAAAACATTTTCTTAACAATAAAGCAGAATCTGAAAGAACTAGACAGATACTTTTGGAGCTCGCTATCTGGCAATTTTAATGGTAGAAGACAGTTGTGACTATCTCTTTTTACTAGAATTGAGAATATAATATAGACTTGCTTTTGGTTTGGCCCATTCGATTTAGTGCAATACAATGGATGCCGACTCGCGATGTATAAGACCACGTGCAAGATTTTTTGAGCGAAGTTTAGAAATACATGCTTCTAGGCTGAAATCGGAAACAAAAGGACTGGTGAAACGATGGCTTCTTCTAGGGTAACAAGCGATTTCTTTTCGTAGCGGATGAAGGTGAGGATGAGTAAAATTACCACAATACTTTGAAGTATTTCACTTTTATTGAAGAAGATTATCAAGTGGCGAATATTAGTATATGAGATTTAAAAGTAAAATCAACATGTTGCAGGCAGCATTAAACCTTAGGCAAAATTAAACTTAGGCAGAATTGAAAAGATTTAGGCGCCATAGTGTATGTTTTTAGTAAAAATAAAAATATTACTTCAAAACTATATGAAAAAGAAACCATATAATAACCGGTAATAGAATTTAAATAAAACTTAAAAAATAAGTTAACGCTCGTCAACATGACTCGCTTGACCCTCGACTGAATGATTAGCTGCTATCTGGCTTAGTTAGCTACTTCACTAGTGTGAAACATACTGCGATAAAAGCTTTAAGAACAGCCGAGTTCAAGAATGAAGACTCATATCCAGCTGCCGTTTCTGAACCCGATACTATAGAGAATATTTTCAGCCGTTTTCTTGTGAATTGGTTCTATTTCATTGTGTCTTTCATATCAAACTGAACTTGTGATGAAATGCTTATGTGAATGCAGTGGAAAGTTTAAATATCTCACTTCATGCGTAGTGTCAAAAATAAGTGAGTCGCTAGATACTTTATTTTAAAATTGATTTTTTCTATCTGACACTTGAATCTCAATTTTTAAAACGCAGTAAATCATTAATATCTATTTTTAAAAATAAGTGAAACACTCAACGTTTAATATTACAATTAAAGGACCCCGTCGGATAACTCAACTTATTCACTTAGAAAAACAAAA